TTTTGTCCATTAGAAGGCCCATCAGAGGACTGAGAGTCCAAGATAGTTCCTTGATAATTTGACTCGAGGTGACCCCTACATGTGTTTTTATACAAAACCTGTTCAAAATGATTTCCATTTGTTAACTCACCATGTCTGTCAGTGCAATGTACAGAAACATTCCTCCTGCGATGGCAAAGATTGCATTTGGAGCAAAGTTGCTTCCAAGCAGGATTCCGAACACAAGGCCAAAGTAACAGGACACCGATGACAGTAGGTTGAAGAAAATGGCCTGAGGAATGCTCATTCCAGCATTTAGCAGGATAACAAAGTCACCTGCAGAGAGAAAGAAAACACTAAATTAATACCAGCACTTTCAAAAGGAGGATAGAAGCAGGGTTTGCTTTTTCTTCTTTTGACTCAGCTTTTAACAGAGCTGCTCTGTAAAGCTGTTTGCAAGCTATTATTTTTATTATACTTAGATTTAAAGTGCCCATGACWTTACAGTTTTGTAATAAAGATGAATGCATTTTTGGAAAGACAATATTGATTGATTGTAACAAAAGTTTCATGTTGTCGAGATGAATAGTTGATAAGATATTTGAATGTGAAGTAACAGGAAGTGATGTCAAAGGGGAATGMCAAAATGTAAACAGAGCTACAACACAGACTGTAGAGACGAATCTGATGTTTCTTTAGGTTATTTTGAGTCATTTTCAGAGAAATGAAAGAGTCAGAGTTCAAATAATGTTGCTTCCATAAACAAAGACCGAGGAATTTTCTTTCTTAAAGAGTTCCCCTTTGATGTCACTTCCTGTTTCATTTTGGCTGAGCCAAATTCAAAAAAAGAAAACAGGCAAGTTATGTGACAAAATGGGTCAAATCATGTTTATTATGTAAGTTTCTTAAATGATAAAGATGTTTTTTTGACAGAGCCATTTTCTTTACACGCAAAGCACAATATCTGATGATTGGCTCTTTTAAATGAAACCAGAGAGCGTTGACAGAGAGGAGAAGGTAGAAATAACTCAGTCTGTAACTGAAAATATGGATGGAGGACAACAGAGCTGCTTCATAGAAGAAGAACCTCAGCTTAGCCTGTTAGCTTTAGTGACGTTATATTACTATGTGTGTGTGTGTGTATCGCTCGGCGCTAGAGGGAAAGCTAACAAGCTAAACTGAGGTCCTCCATCCATATTTTCAGTTGCAGCTGAGTCATTTTTGTGTTCTCCTCTCTGTCATGTGGATGGAGGACCTCAGGCTGTGTCCAAAACGACGGGCCGGGTCCTCCGGAAGACCCAGACTCCCCGGTCTCGGTGGGCCGGGTCCTTGGTAGACCGGGAAGAATGGAACAAAATAGGCTGTGAATTTGGACGGTCTAGCCTCCCCTCACCCTGGCGTACGTCTTGTCACCTAGCAACTGTGACGACGCTAAAC